CTTGATTCTCTTGTTCTTTTGGCACTGGTGGTCTCTTGATTCTCTTACAAGCCTTGCAGAAGTGCCTGGGCTGAGACAAACTGTAATTATTGTAGTAACAAAACTTGGTGTTCGATGAATCACAACGTGGGCATTTCAGAGGTTGTTGCGGCGACGGCAAAGCTTGCTTCTGCTGTTGATCTTGGCCGCCCATTGGTTTCTCCATAAGCTTAGCGTCACTCGACCCCATTAAGCTTTTGCCATCTATCTGATTCTTCTGCACCAAAAATCAAACAACAAACAAAAAGAAAAGAATAGAAAAGAAGAAGAAGAGGTTCAAGATTGGTATTTCAATGGTAAAAAATAACAACACATGAATAAATATTTTGTTACTCCACGTCGGCAATTTTACTGGAGGGACTGAAATTAAGAAAATTTGAATAATTATGGAGTCAAATTGATAGTTTTTAAACTCATTAACTCCAATTAACAATACCCTAATAGTTATAGGACCAAAACTAAAATTTTCTTTTTAAAAAATTATATAGTACAACTCTTATAGCATAATGCATAAAAAATTAACAAAAAATAGACATAAATCAGGAATATAGCATGGACCGAGACTTATTATATTTTTAGATGTCGTATATTAATTTATATTATGGTATACTTTACATTACTTCAAAAATTTAGTGGCGAAGTAGAGATAAAATTTCAACTGGTGTATGGTCTAATTAATTCAGAAAGGTTGAATTGCGTATAAATTACATTTTGATTTTTGTTGGGCAGAGACTTACAGGACCAAATTTTAAAGTTTACTCTCAAAATGTGGTAGACAAGTATAAAAAAAAATAAATAAATAAAGTTATATCTATGCTACTAGATATAACTTTTGATATAGCAGTATGCAATTGATCTTGACAATTGGTTTAAGAGTAGGTCACGAATTTGTAATTACGGCTAGCTGGTGCTGAGGAGGGAGGATTAAGTTTAACATCCTACTATATATTAAAAGTCTTTAATAATAATAATAATAATAATAATAATAATAATAATAATAATAATTGGTAAAAGAAAGTTTGTTCATAAAAAGTTATTGACGCAAAAAAAAAAAAATTGCAATTTAGCCATATCTTTTTTTTTTTAAATACTACTGACTCTCACAATGTAGTATCTGTTCATAACTACTTTCTCAACTGAAACATAAAGGCTATGTTTGGCAAACCTAGCTGAAAAGGTAGCTGGAAGCTTAAAAGTAGCTGAAAGCTGAAAAGTTATAAGTTAGGAGCGGAAAACGGAAGAGTTGTTAAGCTAGCTGTTATGCTTGAAAGTGTTTGGTAAAACTAGCTTTTTGATAAGTTGATAAATGTAAAAAGACAAAAAAATGATATCTTCATAAAATTTAAATTAATTTGTTTACATATTAAAATTTAACATTTTGTGTTCAAAATAAATTAACATTTTAAAATAAAATTATTAGCATAATCATGATTTAGTATCCCATAATGAAGTATCAATATTGTTGTGAATCTCCTTCATCTAATAATAATAATAATAATAATAATAATAATAATAATTGCGGTGAAAGTTGCGGATAAAGAAGAAGAAGAAGAAAAATTTAATTGGAAAGGATAAATGATGTCATTTCTTTAAAATAATAAGTATATAGATGGAAAAAAATTAAGAAGCTACTAGCTTATTTTAAACTACGAGCTTCTTTTAGGAAACAAGCTTTGTCAAACAGGGTAAATTATGCCCTGGAAACGTGTTCACCATGAATAGTGAACACGGGTCCAAACGGCGCCGTTTTTATGTAAAAAGAAAAAAAATTTCGCGAATGTGATGTTAACGGCGCGCGTTTGGTCAGATTATGAATTTTCTGTTATGAGATTATGAATGTACTGTAAATTCATAATCTCATAACAGAAAATTCATAATCGCATAAAAGAAAAACATTTATTAAATTATGAATTTTCTGTTATGAGATTATGAATTTACTGAAAATTCATAATCTCATAACAGAAAATTCATAATCTCATAACAGAAAATTCATAATTTATGAATGTTGAAGAAGCTTGCGCTACAGAGGAGCAGCCATGGTTTCGGACGGGAATGTGTAGGCATGGTTCCAAAGTGAATGTGCAGGTATGGATTCATAATTTATGAATGTCCGAAATCATTGCTCACCTCAAATTAAAGTGAAACCGCGAAATGTAAAAATGAAGAATAAAAGTCACACGATTAATTAAGAAAAAAAAAAAAGATAACGGTGCACTAACACCGTTGGGACCGTGTTCACCATGGATGGTGAACACGATTCCATGGCATAACGATTGGTCAAACAGTGCCAAAGAGTCAATATAACCACACCTTAATTGTCTCTTTGTCAAAAAAGGTTTCTGATAGCTTTATTTAAGATAAATTAAACTATAATGACCACATCACTAATCATTTCTCTTTTCATAACGAATTTATTACGATTATTGAAACGGCACTAGCCTTTTGTTGCAGTAATAATGGAAATATTGTAATGAAGATGGTCATTATGATACTATGACTTTTGACATCATCTTTGTGTATATTCTATTTGACGTTGCTTTACTTTTGGTGCTCCAAATTCCTAAAACGGATTACCTAATGGGCTCCTCCTCAATTCTTATAATTTTACTAGCTAACATCTAAGCCACCTATAACTTTTTTTTTTTCTTTTTTTTCTTTTTTCTTGTTACTTATGGTCAAACCAGATTAAGATCTAACTAAAAATTGACAAACACGATGTATAATGAAAAAATTCCAATTTTAATTATTTATTATAACATTATCACATTTAGTCCTATTTTTTTGTTGGACGTTAGTCGGATCGGTCGAGTCGGTCGCGTTTAGCCCTTACTCGATTCAAAACGTGACATTGTGGCTTACCATGAAGGAATGTGGTTAAATGAGTAGTGTCCACTTACTTATCATCAATTGATTTTAAAAAGGATATGACAACCATATAACCGAAGAATTCCGTAGTTAAGTGTACTTGTCTGCTTGACCTACTGGAAAATATGTACACTGAGAATTAATGTGACAATGCCATAATAGTCGAGGACTAAAAATAAAATTTATTCATTTATAAAATGTATCCAATTTAGTATGATGTACTGATATAGTATAATTATTATGTGCTTGTTTGTTATATATATCACTAATACTATGGAGGAAAAAGAAAAAACTAAATTGAAATTGATACAAAGGTTGAGGTTGAGGACTTGAGGTTGAGGTTAGACTAACAACTTTTGTTGTTAGTGAATAAGTTGATACACCAAAAATTATATATATATATATATATATATATATATATATATATATATATATATATATATATATATATATATATATATAATCAAAAATATGAATTTATATAATGAAAAATATGAATTTATTTTATGGAAAAATAATTTCAATAAACTAGTACGAAATTAGCACAAAAAGATTTAATTTTTAGAAAATCAGTCTCAATCAAAGGATTCAAAGCTTGGTACAAAACCAGCATCTTCGAATTATTTATATAAAATAAATAAAATTGAGAAAGAGTTTTCAAAATTTGAGATTTTAACTCAACAAGAAGAAAGAGAAATTCGAGTCATGTGTACTCACACTCTCCTAAAAATTGATTTGCAACCTCCCGATGGTGCTAGAAGCGTTGTAGCGTCCACCTCATTTTCGACTTAAATGTGTCTATTTTGAAAATCAATTTCTCTTTCACTTATTACTTGTTTTGATCTACAATATATCAATCTTTTCGTCTTATTACGAAGAACCCCAATCCACTAAACCCGACTCAAATCCAGAGTGGACCCAACATATATTTATACCCCAAAATAAACACTTTCTATGTCAATTTATGCTAAAAAAATCAACAACTTTAGCCTAATTATTACACACTGCAACGATGTTACGAAGCCCAAAATTAAGGATTGATGATATACCCATTCCCTATTTGATTTGCCAAAAATTTATAATATAATAATCCCACTTTTCGTTCTCGCAAAGAAAATGTTGTTGTTCCTAAGATTTTACTTGTCAAATGGTCCAACGGCTAGCTTAATTAAAAAGATATTAAAGTTTTATTGGCAATTTTTATTGGCTAATTAATTATTTTAGAGCGCCAGGGTTGCTTTATCAAATAGTTTTAGCCGCAATCCTATTTAATTTATTTCTTCTTTTTTTTTTTTTTAACTTTAAAAAATTCATATTTTAGTTTAATATTTTAAACATATTCTTAAATATAAGAGGTTGAGGCTTACTTTTTAAAATAATGAATAATGTTTATTTTTTCTTCTTGAATTCTCCTCTGAATTTTCGCCTTATTATCATTCATTATGTGCTTATGAAATGAGTGACATCATTATGTGTGGTCAAGAAATTTACTTAATAGTCCGCACGATCTTAGTTTAATGGTTCAGTAGATAGTATTTGAGAAAAAAGATCAAAGTTTGAATTTCGAAAGCCACAGTGTAGGAGTAATTATACCCAAAGTGAGTAGATCCCTTGTGCGCACCGACAATTAGAAATTTGATAACATTCTTCGTTAAATTTTTACTTTTCAACTATGGCACATCGTCTCTATTTCTCTTACATAACACTGTTAAAATCATATTTTTTATTTTACAAATGAAATATTGATACTAAATAAGATTATAATTAAAAAAGAAACATTAAAAAGTATTCAAATACCCATGTCCCCATGTACTAAGAAAAATTTTAATAGAGTTTAATAGTTTTGTTATTTCAGGAACAACGTTTTTAAGGGGTTAGAGGTGTATATTGTAACTGTTAAAACCATTAGCATGAAACAATTGAAGAACTAAAATTGCATTGTTTCTTTTATTATTATTATTATTATTATTATTATTATTATTATTATTAATGTTGGTGACAGAGATGGGGAGAATACAAGAGGATACGTAGATGAAGCCAAGGCAAACTTATTACCCTCAAATAAAACCATAAAAAGCAAACAAGTAAAGAAAAGAATTCTCATCATACTTCCCTATAAAATCCCTCTGCCACTTCTTTCTTGTCTCCCGGCCGCCGCACTCTGCCCACCACCATTCTCCACCAAAGAATAACAATCACTTTCTTCTTCTTCATTGCCATGAATACTTCTCTTAGAAGAATCACTTTTCTACAATTTCTTCTTCTTGGGCTCTCCATTTTCCTTTCTGGTATAACTAAATCCTGCCGGTTTCTTGTTAATTCGTGTTTTTTAATTTGTTGCATTGGTTGCATGTGACCCATTCTATTCTTGGATTGTTGAACAGGTTTTGGTTTTCTTAGAGAAGTGGAATGCCTTGGGATCAATTATGGTCAGATCGGAAACAATTTGCCGCCGCCGGAGAAAGCTCTGCAACTCCTGGAAGCTCTGAGGATCACGAAGGCAAGAATCTACGACACCAACCCGGAAATCTTGACGGCATTCGCGAACTCCAACGTTGAACTCTTCGTGACGGTCGAGAACGAAATGCTGGCCAGTTTGGCCGGCGACCCGCAACAGGCCAACCAGTGGGTGAGCGCCAATATTAAGCCGTACTTCCCCGGCGCGAAGATCGGCGGGATCTCCGTCGGGAACGAGATTATCACCGACGACGACACGTCATTGATGGGCTACCTCGTACCCGCCATGGTCAACATCCATGCAGCTCTGGTAAAACAAGGATTTGACCGTTACATTCAGGTATCGTCCCCTCATTCCCTGGCGGTTCTGGGGAATTCGTTCCCGCCGTCGAGTGGGTATTTCAAGCCGGAGATCTCCGGGGTGATGAAGCAATTCCTCCAGTTCTTGGCCGCCACGGGATCGCCGTTTTGGATAAACGCTTACCCGTATTTCGCTTACAAAGACTCGCCGGCGAAAATCTCTCTGGACTACGTTCTATTCAACCCCAACGCCGGGATGGTGGACCCCTACACGAGGCTACGCTACGACAACATGCTATACGCGCAGGTGGACGCCGTGGTTTTCGCCATTTCGCGGATGGGGTTCACCGGCGTGGAGGTGAGGGTGTCGGAGACAGGGTGGCCGTCGAAAGGAGACGCCGACGAGGTGGGCGCCACGCTCCAGAATGCGGCGATTTATAACAGGAATTTGATGAGGAGGCAGCTTCTTAATGAAGGGACGCCGTTGCGGCCCAACATGAGATTGGAGGTTTATCTTTTCGCGTTGTTTAATGAAGACATGAAGCCTGGGCCAACCTCGGAGAGGAACTATGGTTTGTTTCAACCTGATGGGACCATGGCTTATAATGTCGGACTGTTGTCCTCCACCTCTTCTAACTCTGCTTCTTCATCACCCTCATCTGCTTCCGTTTCCCTGGCTTCCTCTGCTACAAAGGTAACCATTTTAGCTATTGAATTTTTTTCTTTTCCTCTTAATTCTATTTAATTTTTAAAAATAAAAAATAAAAAATTGATGGGCGTTGGCCGTGTCGGCCGAGTTCAACCCCTACCTACTTGATTCGAGACGTGGTCTTGTGGCTGCCTTAACATGGAAGGATGTGGTTAAACATTCTTGACTTATAGGAGTTAAGATAACGAGTTTGAATTGATAGCGAGACATTAGTCGAGTCTAGTCCTGGATGGAATGGGCAACCGGCATGCTACTGGGCTGGGAGGGGATTATTGGGCGTCAATTAGGTTGGCCAAATGATGGCAAGATAGTAGCTGAGTTCAGTCCCGGATGGATGGGATGTGTATACTGAGGGGAGATTGTTGGGTGTCGTACTAAAGTGTGGAATTTTTTCACTTTTTAAAATTAAGTGAAAAATGAATTGTAATTTCCTTATGCTAAACAATTGGTTGGATGGGGTGGAGCAAATTCATATGATTATATCAAAGTGAGTTATTTTTTTTTAGAATAAAGTGTTATATACAGGGCGTCTTTTGAATTTTTGAGGTCACTTTCTGGTAAATAAATGAGGCTCTAATTTAACTATTTGCACTACTGGAAATTATGAAATTTCTGACCGTTTTGACCGCCTGAAAGTGATTTTAAATCAAGTTGAAAGTAAAAAGTGGTCGGAAATAGCAATAAAGATTTTTCTGGATACCAAAAGTGGTCGGAACAAGACTTTCGACTTGATTTAAGATGACTTTCAAGTGGTCGAAAATTTCATAATTTCCAGCAGTGTTGAGGCGTAAAAATTGAAGATTTGATTAAGAAGAAAATTGAATTATGTCAAAAAATTTGAATCATTTTGCCATAATCATGCTCAATTAATTAGGAGGGAGAAATGAAAATTGAATTGCAATTTTGATAATCAAAGAAATTTGGGGGAAAGTTGTAAAATGAATGGAAGAAGGAAGAATCATGCCCTCTTTAATGGTGGTGTGTGATTTGGAGAAAAAAACAGTTGATTTTAGACAAATAGAAAGAGGCGTGAAGGGATGTCGGTGTAATTACATATTTTTTTTTTTATAATTTCTTAAACAGATAGGTCAAAAATAGATATTGAGCCCCTATGCAGTTGGGCATTATGCACGGGTCAAAAACCGGCTTATATAGAATGACCTTTTATAGAAATTAAAGTCTTATTGCTTATAACTTATTTATTTATTTATTTTTGATATATACATAATGTATTATTAATACTTAATTATTTTTTCCCTCTTGTCCCACGTTTGGTCATCTTGGCAACAATTATTGGCAAACAGGTAGAGCATATGGAATATCAAAGTCTGGTGTTGTGGATGCTTGTACATTTGTTGGCATGGCAAGCTATGATTAGAAGACAACACTAAAGCAATGGTGGTGGGGGGCTTGGATGTAATTTGGCACCTGCCACATTTGGAGCAAGAAAATGTTGAGGTGTTGCCGTGGCCATTTGGCATCGCAACAGTGAAGAGTTTCATGAAGGATCGATCGATCACGACCCAAATATGGCCTACACCATATTCAAGAACAACATATCCCAAAAGTTTGAAGGGTCAAGATTACGACAGATAGAATGAAGAATGAAGTTCAGGATTAAAAATGAAAGTCTAAACATGTCACATTACTGATAGATGGTGTGGATAATATTACGATGATGATAGAGTAAATATGTTTCATTATACGTTTTAGGAATCTTTACTTTTATTTCTCTTTTGCTTATGGAATTAGGAAATTGAATGTACATGTACACTTCTCTTTTCTATGATGATTATTATTTAATCAATGAAGAGGGAATTCATTGAGAGAACAAAAATGGGTTTCAATTAAAGATCTTTACTTTTGAATGTGGATTCTGCAACAACTGTTTTTTTTTTTTTTTTTTTTTTTTTCTTCCTATTTTGGTGCATATAAAAATAAAAATAAAATGACCCTAAATAGTAGTGATTAGACGACAATTGAATTAGGAGTTAATTTCACTTTTAATTTGGTCCTATGATTATTGTGGTCTTGTTACTTTTAATCCACGACTTTCAAAAGTATCAATTTAGTACTTTAACTATTTATATTTTATCAATTTTAGTCACTTTGATCTAATTGTCGTCTAAAACTCACTAAAAAATATTAATAGGTAAAATAATACGAATATTTTAATCTTTTTTACTCCTCTTTTCTTTCGTCTCCACCGAGTGCTTCTCCATTGCTTCTTTTTTCTCCATTAGTTTTATCACACGATACCAACAAAAAAATAATAAAACTTCCTTTGTATTCCCATGTTCGATAATTTGTTCTTATGAGCATTTTTGTTATATTTATGTGCTTACAAGTTTTAATAACAACATTTGGAGTTTATTAATGAATTATCTTTTATAATTTACCATACGCTCAAAATTAATTCATGATCAATTCTTACTAACAGTTTCTCAATTGAATCAATCACATAAAATCTGTCTAATGTGATTTATTTCTTTTATATTAATTATTGACTATTACACTGAAATGATATTTATCTAATTCACATTAGTGATTGCAAAAAAAATATTATTAATTCATGATAAGATGGATTAGGAAATTCGTAACTTTCCTAGCTCCTAGCTTTATTGGCTGGCCATAACCGTCAGCTAGCACTGTAACTGCATAGTCACCTGCGGCTATCTTTACGAAAAGGCACTTTGGCCATTCTATATATGTTGACAAAGAAAACAAAGTTTTTGTCCAAAATCAGCTAACATGGTGCACATGAACCCCGCATTGATATTCAACCACTCCAAATAAAAAATATAAAATAAATCTTTCAACTATTAGCAACACATAAATTAAATCACTAAATTTTTTAGCGTCAGACGCTTTTAATTTTTCTATAGCTATGTACTGGGATGGAATCCCTCCAAACTCTATTTTGATTCATATATAAATGCAACCACATTGGTTTTTCAAAAAAAATCACTAAATTTTAAAAAATTTTAATTAAATTCTTGAATTCAATATAATCATGCAATTAAGTCTATTTTACTACTGCCAAACATCTTGTGCTCAAATGGTATGTAGTGACCTCTTTTATGTGAAAGGTCATGAGATCGAGCTCTGCTGTGTGCTTCATTAGGTTGAGACATTACAAATTTAATGATATGGCAATTTTTTTCTTACATTCCATTTTTTAATAATAATAGTAATAATTGATGGATTATATGAACCCGGGGGTCCGGATTATACAACCCGTATATATGTTTGAATATAAAAAATAAATAACAAAACGATAAATATTATATTAATTGAGCATAAAACGATATTACAGAGGTTCGGGACGTGTAATAACAAGACAAATGTTGTAGGAAAAATATGAGATGCCTAATTAGGACACTGGGGGGTGTTTATATACTCCCCGGCTGCTACGGGCCCTGGGCCCGCGGGAGGAGCCGCGGTCCGCGCCGCAGGACTCGCTCCACGCGAGGACCCGGCCCTTGGCCGAGCACGGAGCTCGGCCAATGGGCCGAGCATGGGTTCGTTTGAGCCCATGGGGCTCAGCCGAGCTCGGGGAGGTCGGCCCATGCCGACCCCCCACTGGGCCGACCCCGGGGTGGTTCGTCCTGCTCCGCGGGTGGGCGCGGGGTCCGACCCGGTTCGTATTCTGTTGCTCCGCTCCGGCTCCGTGATTATTCCATCATCAGTCCCCCACTCTCGGGGCTGCGAGGAGCTGTTAGCACGAGAGAGTAAAAATGAGTTTAATAATTACGGGGCCCTGAATCATGTTCCAAAAATTCACCCTTTCCTCTCGTAGAATTCTTGGCGCGATAAGACTCCTAACCGGACTGGAATTCAAGCCTGTATAAATTCTTATCAGTTAAGAGTCCTCATCCTACTACAACCCTTCCACTTCCCCTTTAAGTACCCCATCCATCTCCACAAACCTCCTCACATTCCCAACACCACACCTTTCCCTCTCCCCAAAATTTCCCCCATTTTTCCCAAAAGATGTCTTCTCTTTCTCCCCTCCCCCCCCTTTTTTCCCCTCCCTCCCCTATATAAAGTAGCCTTCCCTTCATTCCTCACACACACAAAGCTCCACAAAACTGAAAAACTCTCTCCCTCTCCTCTCCCCAAATTTTCCGGCCATCCTCCCGCTGCCGACCACCGACCGCCGTCTGCCGCCGATCTGCCGACTAGCACCCCGGCCGACCCCAGCCCCCTGCTGAGGTTGACCCCACCCACGCCGACCCCAGCCCCCCGAGGCCGACCCGTGCTCCTCGTGTCCTCCCTTCGTGCTTCCTTCGTCATCCCCTCCTTGCTTGAGTCGGGTGAGTTTCGTGCAAACCCCCTTTTAGAGTTCCGTAGCTCTCTTTTTATGAGCATAGTGCCTCTTGCTGAGGACACGCACCCGGTAGACCTACTTTTGATTATCAATTATTGGTCCATCTTAGACTCCATTGACTACGCGGACCTCCCGCCTAGCGATGACGAGTCTATTGATTTAGACCGGTTTCCTTCTCCCGAGGTTGACCATTATTATATCGAGTACCCGTACATAGATCCGTTAGCCACACATCCCCCCTTCATGTTGGTTCCCACGCCACTCCCGGACCCCTTCCCCTTGAGCCAGTATACCGTACTTGACTCCGCCATCCCTCGGGGGTTTGGATCCTCCTTGAGGGGTCACGATATCGCCGTGGCGAAGGCCTTGGTTGGCCCGTCAGCCGAGGTCCACATCCCGCCTCCCGGGACAACTATACTAGAGCCTCCTGGACCCAATTTCTTTGGGGTCCATGTTACATCTCTTCTCATGGGTTTAGCTTTCCCCCTTCACCCCTTCACCATCGAGCTCCTGAACTTCCATCGTATATCTGTGGGTCAACTAGTCCCCAACTCCCATCGGGCGGTGGCAGCCTTTATTGTTCGGTGTGTCGAGGTGGGTATCTGCCCTAACCTGGACCTTTTCCACTCTTTTTTTACCGCGACCAATTCCTCATCTAAGGAGAGCAAGGGGTACATGGCGTTCACGGCTCGACCGGGGACGAGGATTATGGGACACGTACGGGATTTCAACAAGGGTTGGAAGCCCCGGTTCGTGTTTGTCTCTACAGGCGAGAAACTCCCTTTTGAGGTGCCTTGGGGTGGGTACTTTCGTAAGTGCCTTTGCCCGCGGTCCACCCCGGAGCTTGAGGTCCTGGCCGAGGCGTTTTTGGGCGACACGGCTGACATGTTAGACTCCCAGGATCTTTTCGACCACGCGTCCTTGGTCAGGGCGGGTTTTACCCGCGACCTCCCTCCTCCGCCTCCTCGTGGCACTCCTGCCCCTCATCCAGACTCTGCGGGGGAGACCGAGGAGGAGTCTGCTAGCGATGATCCAGAGGACGATGTTATTGAGTTGTGAGCCGGACATTCGACGCCTCCTCCTACCAGCTCTGGTTTGTCACCTCGTCGACGTGCCTGCATGCCTGTTTGTTTATGCATTTTCGCTTGAAGTGCTCACTGATTTGTCTTGGTGTATAGGTATGGCTCCACGTCGCGCCGCCCTCGTGACCCTTATGGAGAGTTTGCGGAACCGTGGTGGCGAGGACCCGAAGCGTCGCAAGATTGGCGAGACTAGCCATGCCACCTCGGGCGTCCGGGTTCCCTCAGGTCCCCGGGTATCACGCCGCCGTGAGGCGAGGTCCGTGTAACACCCCAGATTTTCAAGACATTTAAAACTTATAATAAAGGTAGAATCTTATTAAATCCCAAGATATAAATACAAGCGTTCGGGGTGCTATGCCACACCTGGGCTAGAGAACCCAAGTGCACAGGCTAACTAACTAATATCCTCAAAGCGTAAATACGTAAACGTGGCACGCAGGCCAAAAGGGAAACTATCTACTTCTAAGCTCTAGCGCACTCCAGTGACTTAATCTCCTGTGCCTGAAAGCCAAATATATCTGTTCAGCGAGAGATGCTGGTAACCCACTCCAACGCGTTGAAATACAATACATATAGAGATATATATAGATATACGAAAACCATTTTGAGCATGAAGATATATCCTACGAACACTAGCTTTAAAACCGGGAATGACTCGACAGATAAGGCTAGACACAAGCACAGTTATAACGAGCATATGCAGTTCACAACAGATAAGGCAGATAAGGCAAAGCATAAACAATGATCATAACCCAACATGAACAATCCCCAATATAAATCCCACAGTCACATCCCCCAAGACACTCGTAATCACAACTCGTCCATGTCACAACACATAACACACTTTGTTGGCGCCACAGGACCAATCGCATGCCCATACATGAGGGTCAGCGCATATAGCTCTGACACGGCCCCGCAGCACCCTGCCCCGTATCGCAACACGGAGGGGTCGATCGCAACCGACCGATGAACCGCAGCTCATCATAGTGTTTGATCGCAACCAAACAGTGGACCGCAGCCCAAGAGAATGTCATCTGACCGCAGCCAGGAAAAAGGACGAACCGCAGCTCGTATAGAAACGTTTGATTGCAACCAAACGGTGGACCGCAGCCCAAGAGTATCAATCTGACCGCAGCCAGCTTCTGAACCGCAGCTCAGGATAACCAATCCGATCGCAACCGAATTGGGTAGCACACACATAACACATAGCAAGCACATGCAACCCACAGTACACATTAGGAAGGGGGAGAAAAACGTATAACAAAACCTATGCGTGATCCATCACTTACTAAGAATAGTCCTAAGGGGTTCATACTTCTTCCACCTAGGTCAACGGGATACCAATTCAACTAGCATGCAATATAATAGACTCATAAACCTACGAACGGTACCCGAAACATCAAACTAGACATAGGCACGATAAACGGAGTCCGTTGGGACACCACGGGGAACGGGGAACATCAAACGGGGAAGCCGGGGTCCCGAGTGGGACAATTTTCCAGCGGGTAGCCGGTGGGTGGGGGCCACCCGCCGGCTGCCCGCCGGATTCTACTGTTCCGGGCAGCGGGTCGCCGGCGGGCAGCTGCCCGCCCGCCGGCCACCCGCTGCCGGGCGGTGTTTTACGGCCATGGGTAGGTGGCGGGTCCCCTACCCCCCCACCTACCCCCCACTGACTCTTTTCATCACTTTTCGCCCCGGGAACCGTTGTGGAACCCGAAACCATGCTTAGACACTTTTCAACGCAATTAACGACAACACGTAGACAATTAACGAATCAAATACAAGAAACGAACGGCACATAACCTATCATGCTTTTCTAAATATAATCAACACCCAAACATGCGATTTCCCCACCCGATAATCCAAGAATAAGATTATACGATACAACCTAGGGTTCCAATCACTTTTATATCAACAAGAATATGGTTCGTCTTCTAATTGCAAGATTCGGTAAGAATAACACATAAACATTAAGAGCATCACACAATTATCAAGAACGACACATAATCATCAAGAACTCCATATAATCATCAAGAATTCCATAATCATCAAGAATCTCCCAATATCAAGATTATCAAGATCTCTCATGGGATCATCACATCAAACATCAATAATAATCATCATATCTCGCCAATACACAATAATATGGGGGAAACCCTAAGGGGGAATCATAGCTATGAAAATAGGTTTTGTTGAGACATGGGTTACCTCTTAGCCTTAATAAATTCCTTGGCTACGAAGGATCTTTCTTTAAGCTTCCTTGCTTTCTTGATTTCTCCTAAGGGGATTCTTGGAGCTCTTTTGGGGTGGTGGGGCGTTATTCTTGTGGGAGGAGTTCTAGGTGCTTCCTAAGTTCCCTATTTATAGATCTAGGGATCTTATTTAGGGTCTAACCCTATTGGGATTAGGGGTTGGGTTTATATAGGAGGGCCCATGGGCTACGGTGAGCCTTTTTCCCTAATTAATCATTATAATTTATTCTTTCTCTTGGGCTATTAATTAATTAATTAATTGGTTTTAGGACTCGTAACACCGGGTGTTACAGTCCGCCTCTGATGCGGACCACCTGTCGGATGGTCGTCTGGCCGACCCCATCAGGGTGCCTTAACTGATTGGTCCGTCCACCTCCCGCCTGCAGTCTCGATACTTAGCGGGGATATCCCCTGGATGCCCTTTTGCGCAGCCTCCTTCTGCCCCACGACGCGGCCATGCATGAGGACCATGCCATCCTCCGCCCTTTGCTAGAGGTATGTACCCTTTTTTGAAAACGCTATGTTTCCTTGCTTCTTGTTATCTTGTCTACTACTTATGCTTGCCTTTATATAAGCGGTTGTCCGTGCTGTGTCCATGGAGAAAGTTATAGGGAGTACTCGCGAGCAGCTGGAGACCGAGACGCGGGCTCGCCAGGACGTGAGTGACAAACTCGTGGCGCTGGAGGATCAGCATGGTGAGTTGATAGCCAGCCGGTTGCGGGAGCGCACAGCGCATCAGGTGGCCCTGAATGTGACACCCCAAAAATCCACATTCAATCCATGGATTAATTGAATAATTAATCCTATTTTATTTGAAGAATTAATTCCTAAAATCCTGATTTTTAATACTCAAGGACTAGTATTTGACTAGTCAACCTTAAAGTTGTGTTGTACCTTGAGCTTTGGGGGAGTTCCCTTGTTCCTTACACTTTCTAAAGGTTAGTAAGGGTATTCTTAACTTTTCACCAAGAGTTAGTATTGTAACCTAACCTAGAAGACTTCTTCATTTCATTCCTTACAATTCCTAGAAATTAGCTCTACCTTCTCTCTAGAAAAGAAGTGTAGCTTATTCTTCAAGCCAAGTTGAGACCCTTGTCAAGATTCCAAGATTTGCTTCCAAGATTCAACCTTTCACCTATTTGGGCATCTAGGAGGGTAAGATCTAAGTCCATCTTGTGTTTTTTTGTTCCATCTTAGTTGTCTTTTTCTTAAAGGTAGGATCTTTATGATCTTTTGGTTTGATCTTGAAGTGGGTTTGGAAAGTAAGCCTTGTGGGGAGCTTGTTGTGGTTTAAAGTGAAGTCTTTTGGTCTACAAGAGGTAACCCATGCTCTACAAAACCTATTTTGCTTACCTATATGTGATTTCTTGGATTCTACTTGTGTTTTGCTATGAAATGTGAGGGTTTATGCATTTGTCTTGTGATATTGCATATCTAGAGCTTGTGTTTAGGATTCCTTTGTGCCATTTCTTGGCATTTTCCATGGTTCAAGTCATTTTGTTGTATTGGGTGAGATTTGGCATGTTTTGGACTTGAATTTGTGTTTGGAGAAGAAAATCCCTGAAGGGATTTGTTGTGGAACAGGAGTGTTCCCGCGGGCGGAACGGCGGGCGGGCACCAACCGCCGGCCTACCCGCGGGTACATAGCCCTGTGGGAATATGTTCCCGCGGGCGGAACCGCGGGTGGGGCACTACCCGTGGGTACATGGTGGTGATTGTTCGGGATTTGTTCCCCGTGATCCGTTTGACTCGGTATTTGGCCTTTTGACTTCCCAATGTTCTTTTGTGGAACTATTTGAGTGTCTTCTTGATGTTTCGTATGTCTAGAACTATATGGTAGGTATCCATGTAGGACTTTGGTGTCTTGAATCGTGCTAAGTGTTCAACATTGTGTTTCGTTGGATCAAGAGGTGTCTTGTGTGTTCCTCGGAACTATCTTGAGTTTCTCCGTTGTTAAGCATCCTAGTTTATTGTCTTAATGCTAGCGTGTCTGTGGTTTGTAACTTCCATTTGGTTGATGATAACTTGTGTTATTCATCGTTGTTGTTGTTGGGTTGTGACCCGTTCCTTGGTTGAGTATGTTTCATACCTTCATTGTGATCCGTTGTTTGACTCTTGTTGAGTTGTGGTGCGTGTGTGGCTTTACCTGGATTGCACGATTAGTGGTATGGGACACTAGTCACCAAGGTATTGCAGCGGTCCTTGTGGTGGCCGTGACGTGATTATAGAGTTGTGGCCTTTGTATAAGGTTCACGTTTTTGGGGGATAACATGTGTTATCCGGGCATGTGTTTCCGTGTACGGTACCTTGTGCACTATGAATTGGTGGTCTCGTTGGTGGTCGTTGGTGGGGGACGACGGTCCCGGGGGATTAAGGTTGGACTTGGCTATACAGGGGTCCTGGAGGTAATGGTTGGAAGAAGATATAAGGTTGGGGGTAGCCATAAGGTTGGAACAGGGCATAAGGAAGGCATATCAACTCGTGATGGGTGATGTCGCGAGGGCTTGTGTAGCCGGTGTTGTGTGTTCTTCTCTCGTGACGTTTGTAGTCACGGAGGCATGTGTTGCTTTGGCATGTGTTGCCGTTGGGTGAGTCTTATTCCTTTGCGTTGTGGTTTGGGATGTGTTCCCGTGTTATCTTTGTGAGTGATGAGTTTTGTGTTGACTGTTGATCTTGGCTTTTTGACTTATATACTTATGTATTCCGTTTCGAAAATGGTTTTACAACTTATATCTATCTATGTATGATATTTCACATGTATTGGTGGGTTACCAACAATTATCGCTGACCGGGCGTCGTCCCAATGTTTATCTTTGTATCTTTCAGGTGATGTCTAGATGAGCGCGATGTCTAGTGGCCGGTAGCTTAGTACCTTTATCCTTATTTTGTGGCCTGTGCGCCAAATGTAGTTTTAGACTGATGTCTTTGGGATAGATGTATACACTTGCAGATTGATCGCCGTAGCGTTTACCGTGTTTGGTAGACGTGGCGTAACACCCCGTTTGGATTTGTTTTATCCAGTTCTCGTTTTATCTTCCGCTGTGCTAGTTGTGTTGTTTGATCTGCATGTGTTAAGGCTTTTTATATAGGTCGTGTTTGGGGGGGGGGGGGTGTTACAGTTGGTATCAAAGCCTTGGTTTTGAGCCTACGAAGAGTTAAGTCTAGACTTTCTAAGTGGTTAAGTGTGTTTTGAGACCTCTATGCGACCTTAAGAAGCTAAGTGTTAGGCTTAGGACTCTAGGTTGCGCGGTGAGCTGTGCGTTGCTTTCTGTCTTGGTTGTTTGCTCTCTTTTGGTAACCTCATTGTTGTTGTAGAAGTTGCGATACCTCCTCGTCCCCGCGCTCGCACCCCGGAGACCCCGATGAACGAGCAGCTCGCTCAGAATCTCCATCAGCTGACGCAAACGATGCAGACGCTCAATGAAGCCTTGCTGAACAACAATCAAGCTGTGCCGCCTCCTCCCCCTGCTGGGCACCGAGATGTAGGTCGTTTGGTGTCGGGACATCGGCCGTCAACCTTCGCCGGCGAAGAAGACCCGGTAGTCTTGGAAGAGTGGTTACGGGTGTTTGATAAGATCTTCACCGTTGTGGGTTGCCCCGAGGAGAGAAGAGTAGAACTGGCAACGTGCTACTTTTGCCAAGAAGCTGATCTGTGGTGGGTCCACGAAGGTCCGACCTTCCTTGAAGAGCTTGGGTTTGATTGGACCGCGCTCAAGGACAGAATGCGTGAGAGGTTCTACCTAGCGCATGTGCGAGCCGCCATGTTTGATGAGTTCCTTCATCTGCAGCAAGGATCCTTATCTGTGGTCGAGTACCACAAGAAGTTCTTGGAGTTGGCGCACTTCGCGAGGATGCTTGTGCCTACAGAGCTTGCTAAGGTTGAGCATTTCGTTGCCGGTCTGAATTATGAGGCACGAAAAGCGTTGACGGTGAGTAGGCCAAGTTCCCTTAAGGATGCGTACCTGAGTGCCGCGGATCTGTATCGTGTTCAGCAGCTTCAGAAAGGATCGTATGAGCTAGCTAGGAAGAGGGTTGAGAGCGGAGGTTCTTCCACCTTCCAGAAGCCCCGACCGAGTTTTCCAGCCAAGGCTGTGTCATCTTCTTCTCAAGGACCTATCAGGGTGGAGCATCGGGATCAAGCTAAGTCGGTTGTTTGTCGAATATGTGGGAAGGTGCACGCGGGCCAAGTTTGTCATGGCCAGGCGTTTAGGTGTTTCCGATGCGGGGATCGTGGTCACAAAGTCGCGGAGTGTCCCCAGTTTGCCGGTCAGAGAGCGTTGCCGCCACCCCCGAGAGCCGGAGGAGCATCGGGAGGGAGTTCAGGTCGTGGAGCGGTCGGAGCTAGGCCACCTGGAAGAGTTTTCGTGATGGCGCGTTCACAGGCTAAGTCGGAGGGCTTGATGGAGGATGAAGTGGCAGGTAACCCCTTTCCTCTAGCCTATCTTTGTTTTTCCGAAATCATCGTGTTCGTTGTGTCTTGAGTGTTACTTTGTGTTTCGTAGTTGTCCTTGTTTGGCAATCCTTGGCATGCTTTTCTTTGATAGCAACTCTCTTGGGGTTTAGTGTAGACTCTTCTTGCTAAGTGATTTCTTTAGTTTGGTATATAAGCTTCGTTGTGAAGTTAGCAATCCATCCTTGTCATGTTTTGCGATTTGGGCCAATTCTACAATCTTTATACTTGGTTGTTCTTACAACAATTCCTTGAGAACTCCCTAAATTTTCCAAGTATTCTTTGAATTTGGAAATAGAAAAATTCATACAAAAAAAAACCTTTCCTTGTGTAGCTTAAAAGCCAAGCCTAATGTTTAATTGTAACCTTTAAGTTTCGAACCCGAGCCTAATCTTTGTTAACCCAACCTCTTAACCACTTAAGCCAATTGTCTTTCTTAGAACTTAACCAATTTTAATCCTATTTAAACCACAAATTTCCACCTTACCCAAATCCCCAAATTAAATCATCTTTTCCCCAAATCTTTCTCCAAAAAATCCCTAAATTTCCCAAATCTTCTTCCCTCTTCTTCTTCCCTACCCGTGAACCACCAAGCACCTACCTCCCCGTCGCCGCACCACCAACCCGCCGTCGCACCACCTGCCGCACCACCGCCCTTCGCCGCCGATCGTCGCTGTCGTTCGCCGCCGGAGCTGTGTCGCCGAGAGAGAGAAGCTGAGCGAGAGAGAGAGAGAGAGAGAGAGAGAGAGAGCAGCGAGAGAGAGAGGAGAAAGAGGAGAAGCCTTGGGTCCTTTTTGTTGAGCTTTGGGTCATCTTCAATCATGCCTAGAAGATCAAGTTTGGCTAGGAAAGCGGAATGGGTGGATACCCATTACCTCGTCCTTGAAGGTAAAGCTTTTGATCCGGAATCTTTTCCTAGTTCCTTGTTGGATATGCTTAGGTATCAAGGTTTGTTGGATGGGTTTCTCGCCATAAAGGCCGAGACTTACCCGAGTCTGGTTAAGGAATTTTATCGTCACATGGTTGTGACAAAGGAGGGTGATAAGTTTGAGATCACCTCTAAGGTGAGAGGTGTGAAGGTTGTGTTATCTGAAAAGAGGTTGGCTTAGTTGTTTAGTTTGTCTGCTACCGGAGTGGCTCAGTACAGTGGTCATTCTTGGATTAGTACGGATACCATGGGGTACTGTGACAATTTGAGCTATCTGTTGGGTCGTACGAGTGGTTTCACTCAAGCCTCTAGGCCAGAGAATAAGTGGTTGTCTGCGGAGCAAAGGACCTTGATGATGTTGGTGTCGGATTGTTTGTTTCCTAATAATAGCAAAAGCAGTTTGTTGGGTAAGTTGGAGTGCACCTTTGCCTTTTGCCTCAAGAACATGGTTAAGTTCAACCTGCCTGCTTTGATGTTGCAACACATGGTGTTTTGCCCGGATCACAATCGGAAGAGCTTACCTTATGGGATGGTGTTGAGTTGGATCTTGGTTAGGAAGGGTGTTAGTGTGGACGGTTGTCTCCCGAAGGCCGTGGGAAAGATGGTATTGGATACCACCAATCTCCGGAGTTGTAATCTGTTTCAGTTGGATGATGGTGAGTACATCACGCTTGAGGAAGTTGCAAGGAAAGCACCTGATGAACGGGCGGAGTTAGCTGCTGAGCTTGGAATCCATGCAGGGAAATTGAGCCTCGCAGTCCAGAGTTTGGGCGGTGACGAAGAAGTTGAGGAGGAAGCAGACCAAGAGGATGAAGTGGGAGCACCGGAGGCCGCCGAAGCTGAAGAAAGTGATTAAAACAATGTGGAAAACCGGAGGAGGAAAGAAGCTCGCACGAAGAGGGAGCATGACGTCATGGCGCATGAGGAGCGTGTTGTCACCTTGCTCCGTCAACAGAACAGTATGATCGCCGAAGGCTTCGCGTTTATGAAGGCTCAGTTCGTCGCAGTGCATCAGAGGCTGATCAGTTTGAAGCCAGTTCTAGCCGCAGAGACGAAGACGAAGAGGAGTCTGAAGAGGCCGAGGAGTCGGAGAGTGAGGAGTTCTAGCTTGTGTCGCGGTAATCCTGTTCGCCTTTTTACTTGTTGTTTCCTTCTTAGCCGTTGTTAGCTTGGTGATAGGTTGTTGTTTGCTTTGTGTGCTTGCTTGTTTTTGCTTGTTGTCTTGTTGTTTAGCTAGCTTGTTAGTTGGTGTTTGGAGTTAGTAGTCTAGTTCTTGGTTGTTGTCTAGAAGTCGGTGGTTGTGTTGAGGCTAGAGTTCTTGATGCTCAATCTATCTGCTTGTTGAACTCTTGCCAATCCTTGCATTTGAAATGCCTTCTTTCTTGCTTTGGAATACTTCTTTGCTTTGGAATCCTTGTGAGTTCTTTTGGAATCTTTGACCAAAAGAGATATTCTTGAATTTCTTGTCACAATGTTGTTTCATTTCACCGTTTGCTTTTAATTCGTCGTAACCAAGCATCGGGGACGAAGCTTCTTTGAAGGGGGAGAGGATGTGACACCCCAAAAATCCACATTCAATCCATGGATTAATTGAATAATTAATCCTATTTTATTTGAAGAATTAATTCCTAAAATCCTGATTTTTAATACTCAAGGACTAGTATTTGACTAGTCAACCTTAAAGTTGTGTTGTACCTTGAGCTTTGAGAGGAGTTCCCTTGTTCCTTACACTTTCTAAAGGTTAGTAAGGGTATTCTTGACTTTTCACCAAGAGTGAATATTGTAACCTAACCTAGAAGACTTCTTCATTTCATTCCTTACAATTCCTAGAAATTAGGTCTATCTTCTCTCTAGAAAAGAAGTGTAGCTTATTCTTCAAGCCAAGTTGAGACCCTTGTCAAGATTCCAAGATTTGCTTCCAAGATTCAACCTTTCACCTATTTGGGCATCTAGGAGGGTAAGATCTAAGTCCATCTTGTGTTTTTTGTTCCATCTTAGTTGTCTTTTTCTTAAAGGTAGGATCTTTATGATCTTTTGGTTTGATCTTGAAGTAGGTTTGGAAAGTAAGCCTTGTGGGGAGCTTGTTGTGGTGTAAAGTGAAGTCTTTTGGTCTACAAGAGGTAGCCCATGCTCTACAAAACCTATTTTGCTTACCTATATGTGATTTCTTGGATTCTACTTGTGTTTTGCTATGAAATATAAGGGTTTATGCATTTGTCTTGTGATATTGCATATCTAGAGCTTGTGTTTAGGGTTCCTTTGTGCCATTGCTTGGCATTTTCCGTGGTTCAAGTCATTTTGTTGTATTGGGTGAGATTTGTCATGTTTTGGACTTGAATTTGTGTTTGGAGAAGAAAATCCCCGAAGGGATTTGTTGTGGAACAGGAGTGTTCCCGCGGGCGGAACGGCGGGCGGGGCACCACTCACCGGCCTACCCGCGGGTACATAGCCCTGTGGGAATATGTTCCCGCGGGCGGAACCACGGGTGGGGCACTACCCGTGGGTCCACCCGCAGGTACATGGTGGTGTTTGTTCGGGATTTGTTCCCCGTGATTCGTTTGACTCAGTATTTGGTCTTTTAACTTCCCGATGCTCTTTTGTGGAACTATTTGAGTGTCTTCTTGATGTTTCGTATGTCTAGAACTGTATGGTAGGTATCCATGTAGGACTTTGGTGTCTTGAATCGTGCTAAGTGTTCAACATTGTGTTTCGTTGGACCAAGAGGTTTCTTGTGTGTTCCTCGGAACTATCTTGAGTTTCTCCGTTATTAAGCATGCTAGTTTATTGTCTTAATGCTGTGTGTGTGGTTTGTACCTTCCGTTTGGTTGATGATAACTTGTGTTATTCATCGTTGTTGTTGTTGGATTGTGACCCGTTCCTTGGTTGAGTATGTTTCATACCTTCGTTGTGATCCGTTGTTTGACTCTTGTTGAGTTGTGGTGCGTGTGTGGCTTTACTTGCTGCACGATTAGTGGTATGGGACACTAGTCACCAAGGTATTGTTGCGGTCCTCGTGGTGACCGTGACGTGATTATGGAGTTGTGGCCTTTGTATAAGGTTCACGTTTTTGGGGGATAACATGTGTTATCCGGGCATGTGTTGCCATGTACAGTACCTTGTGTACTATGAATTGGTGGTCTCGTTGGTGGTCTTTGGTGGGGGACGACGGTCCCGGGGAAATAAGGTTGGACTTGGCTGTACAGGGGTCCTGGAGGTAATGGTTGGAAGAAGATATAAGGTTGGGGGTAGCCATAAGGTTGGAACAGGGCATAAGGAAGGCATATCAACTCGTGATGGGTGATGTCGCGAGGGCTTGTGTAACCGGTGTTGTGTGTTCTTCTCTCGTGACGTGTGTAGTCACGTAGGCATGTGTTGCTTTGGCATGTGTTGCCGTTGGGTGAGTCTTATTCCTTTGCGTTGTGGTTTGGGATGTGTTCCCGTGTTATCTTTGTGAGTGATGAGTCTTGTGTTGACTGTTGATATTATGGCCTCAATAGCATACGGTCCCTCCCTTTTCTTTGCAAATTTGCCTCCGTCTTGGGGTCGGCTCGCCTCCCTTCTTCGGAGGATGTAGTCGCCAACCTGGAAGTAACGGGGTCGGACTCGGTTGTCATGGTAAGTTTTTATTTGACGCTGGTAATTTTCTGCGCAGACCATGGCCTCCTCCCTTCTGTCGTCGATGAGGTGGAGGTCGGTGGCGTGGTGTTGCTCGTTGAGGTCAGGGTCGTATATTGCAACCCGATAGGACGGTATCACAGCTTCGGTGGGAGCCCGTGCTTCGAACTCGTATGCCAGCGCGAATGGTGTCTCCCCGGTGGCCTTTCTTGGGGTGGTGCGGTATGCCCATAGGACGGTGTCCAGCTCCTCTACCCATGTTCCTCCAGCTGCGTCCAGGTTCTTTTTGATGTCGTCGACTATAGTTCTGTTGGCGTTCTCCACCTGCCCATTTGCCTGTGGGTACGCCACCGCCACGCGGTTGTGTTTCATGTACCTGGTAGGGAATATCCCGACCGACATAGCTTTACCCCGACCGGTATGCCTTCGTCCTTTCCTTCTTGTTTTTGCAGGTAACAGGTCGGGCTTCTTGTGAAGAACCCGGTCGGGGTCCGACCGGGAATTGCCCGAGCGGTAGCCCTTTGGCGAGAGAGTTGACAAAGGACACGTGGCGGCTCCTTGCGACGACAGACAGGGCACCCGGGAGGATGACACGTGGTGGCTACGTGGAGAGCATGCCGAACGACCGGAATTGTGTCTCCGGCGCAGCGGCTATAAATACCCACAGTAGCTACAGTGTGGAGGACTTTTGAACGATCGATAGGTTGTTGTTAGAGAATCGCGACCGCAGTCAGTCGGTACTCAGAGCAACCAAGTAGATTGTACTTAGGGCCTTCACCGTGATCAATAAAGATATTTACTTGCTTTAATTGGTCTCGAGTTTGTTTAATTATTGCTTACGTAGTAATTAGCACTATCATTTTGGCGCCGTTCGTGGGGACCCGTGCAAGAAAGCAAACGTCTTGACGAGCACCCGATCCTTCATCAACAATGTATCCGTGGGCACAAAACCTCTTTGCTGACGACCAGGCGGATGCAGCAAGCTCATCCGACCACCAGGCAACACAACAACAAGGTCAGACGATGGACCTCAACCTCAATTTCTCACCACCACATCCATCCAACACATTCCCGGCCGCCCAACAGCCGGTGAACTACATTCGACCGGGGTACCCAACACCCGGTCAGCCGTATCCACAACAGCCGATGATGTATCCCGGCCAGTATCCATACCCGGTCCCACCTCCGCCGTACGGGTATTGGCCTGGCCAACCGATGTATTACACGCCCCCGGTTGGCTATCCACCATACACGCCTGCGTACACGGCTCCAGTCGCCGCCCCTCCAATTTACCCGGCCGCACAAGTAGAGCCGCAGCATCAGCCCGCTTCCCGGGCTCGACGCTCGGCTCGTTCGCGGTTGGGGTCGGGGGGTGCTGATGCGATGGAGGCACCACGGCAGGCCCAGCAAGCAGCCGAGGTTCCCACCCAAGTGGAGGACCCCGAAGAAGTTGCCCGAGCGGTAGCTTTTGATCATCTTCGACTGGAGATGCAGCAACGTTTGGGGCCCCAAGACCCGAACCGCCAGCCGGAAGACGTATAGATGCAGAAAGCCAGCCAGGAGGCTTCATCCGGGCATAGCGGGTCGAGATCTCATCGTCGACGACGCGTTCGGGACGCAGCCTAAGCTGCCCAAGCTGCCGAGCTCAACGAGACCCGAGGATTGCTTTACAACCTCCAGGCAGAATTTGCGCAATTCAGAAACGCGCACCCTGCAACACCCCCGGTCGACCAATCGACCTTACTCCGGACGCCTTTTACAGCAGCAGTGATGGCTCAGTCTTACCCGCTCGACTTAAAGGTCTCCGAAGAGAAAAGTTACGATAGCCATACGGACCCTGAGGTCCATGTCAATGACTTTTACGGCAATATGATGCTGAAGGGCGTATCAGACGCCGTAATGTGTAGGGTATTTTATTCCACGCTTACCGGTCGAGCGGCGGAATGGTTCCGAACGTTGCAACCGGGCTCGATCGACAATTTTGATGCCTTGGCGATCAAGTTCGTGAGGAAATTCATCACCTCCAAGGTGGTGAAGAAGTCCTATATGTACTTGGAGAAGGCCAAGCAGCTTGAAGGGGAGAGCTTGACCGACTTCCTCGTCAAATGGAAGGCGGCGGTCGGGGAGGTCGAGCCCATGGATGATGCGACCGCCACCCACATGCTACACATCTCCCTCTGGGCGGGTTATTTGTACCAGAATTTCATTTTACACCCCCCGGCCACATATGAGGAGGCCCTTCGAAGGGTCACAGATTATGCCAACGCCGGCGAGGCGAATGTCGTAAAGCGCTCGTAGGAGGTCGGGTCTTCGTCCCGTAAACCGGCCGGCCAGGCGGAACACCGATCGAGTGATGATCATCCCCGATCCCGCACCAGGCCTGGTGAGTTTACGGCCTTGAACCGATCCGCAGCGGAGGCCATGCAGTACGCTCAGTCCTGCAATCTCATTAAACTCCCCCATCCCGATCGAGACGGCTCCGACAAGAGTAAGCATTGCGCTTACCATCGATGTGCCGGGCATGACACTGAGGAGTGTATCCACTTGCGCCAACTGTTGGAGGATTTTCTCAATCTTGGGAAATTGGACAAGTGTGTGGGGAAGAGAGAGGCCACCAAGAGGAATACTAATCGGAGAGATTACCGGCGTTCCCATCACCGCTCCGATCGCTCTGATCGTGATGGACGCTCCGATCGGTCAGGTCAGGACCGAAGAGACGATCGAAGAGACGATCGTCGCGATGACTGACGGAACCCTGACCCTCCGTCTAGCAGCCGACCATCAGGAAAGCCGACCATCCACGTCATTTTCGGTGGATTGGAAGACTCTTCCCGACCGAGGAGTAATTGCCCGGTCGCCATAGTGGATTCCCGGGAGACCGGGAAGAGGCAAAAGATGGAGCCCATAACCTTCACCCTCGAAGATCAACCCAGGAGCGGTGACCATGGCATGGAGGCGCTCGTGGTCACGATTGATGTGAAAGGGACGGATGTCCAGAGGGTTATGGTGGACACTGGCAGCAGTGTAAACGTCCTTTATTTGGACGTGTTCGAGAAACTTGGACTTGACAGGAAGGAGCTGACTCCGGTCGGTGTACCACTGTCGGGTTTTACCGGGGCTCTTGTTTACCCCGAAGGAAAAATAACGCTCCCAGTTGAGATCGGCACATCCCCAAAGTCGATCAAGACGGAGCTAGAGTTTGTTGTGGTCAACCTCCATTGCGTCCACAACATTATCTTGGGCCGACCTGCCATTATGAAGATCGGTGGGATAATTTCTATGCCCTACCTGTGCATGAAATTCCCCACCCCCAATGGGGTCGGCGTAGTCCGTGGCGACGTCCAATCCGCCCGGAAGTGTTACACCCGAGCGGTCAACAGACGCGACTCCGGTCAGTCTTCCCGGGTGAACACCATAGCCAAAGAAGAGGCTAAAGACCGGAAGGAACAACCCGAGCCTTCCGAGGAAATCGAAGAAGTTCCCCTGTCCGAGGACCGACCGGACAGGAAGATTTTAAATTGGCCGGGCCCTCACCCCCGAGCTACGAACAGAAATCTTAGCCGTACTCCGGGAGTATGCCGATATCTTCGCGTGGGGGCCCGAAGACATGCCCGGGATCGATCGATCGGTAATTTGTCACAAGTTAGCGGTCGATCCCGTAGCAAAGCCGGTCGTACAAAAGACCCGGCACCTTTCTTCCGATCGCCGTGAGTTTGTCAGGGAAGAAGTCAAGAAGATGGCGGCGATCGAGCACATCCGACCGGTGATTTATCCCGAGTGGGTGGCCAACATTGTTCTTGTTCCGAAGCCCCCAGCTTGGAGGATGTGCATAGACTTCACCGACCTCAACAAGGCCTGTCCGCTCGACCCGTATCCTCTACCGAGTATCCATCAGATGGTCAACGAGACGGCCGGGGCCGAGTTGATGAGCTTCATGGATGCATTCAAGAGATATCATCAAATAATGATGCACCATGAAGATGAGAGCAAGACAGCCTTCGTAACTCCGGACGGGCTGTATTGCTACCGAGTGATGCCGTTCGGCCTTCGCAACGCGGGAGCGACCTATCAGAGGATGGTCAATATGCTCTTCGCTGATCTGCTAGGTCGAACGATGGAAGCTTACATCGATGACATGCTGGTCAAGAGTCGGGACCGATCCGACCACACTCGGGATCTCAGGGAGTGCTTCCAGATCATGAGGAAGTACCAGTTACGGCTGAACCCGACCAAGTGCACATTCGCGGTTCAGACCGGCAAATTCCTCGGTTACATGATGACCAAGAGGGGAATCGAGCCCAACCCGGCCAAAGTAAAAGCGATTCTGGACATGCAACCACCTTCTACCGTTCGGGAGGTCCAGCAATTGACCGGTCGGTTGGCAGCTTTCAGCCGGTTCCTCTCAAAGTTAGCCGAGCGCGCTTTACCTTTCTTCAAGGTATTGCGGAAAGTTAATGGATTCGTCTGGGACGAAGAATGCCGAGCGGCTTTTGATGAGCTGAAGGAGTATCTCATGTCACCAATCGTGCTCACAAAGTCCGAGCTCGGAGAAGAGCTAGACGTGTACCTCGCCGTCTCCGATTGTGCAGTAAGCGCAGTATTGTGCCGAACCGATCCGGAAGGGGTCCAGCGACCGGTGTACTATGTAAGCCACGCGCTACATGGTCCCGAGCTCCGGTACTCCCGGTTAGAGAAAGTCGTCTACGCCTTGTATATTGCCGCGAAGAAGTTGGCTCCCTACTTCCAGGGTCGAGCAATTCGCGTGTTGACCGATCAGCCGATCGGGCCAGTCCTCCGAACTGCTTCATCATCCGGTCGCCTAGTCAAGTGGGCGTTAATGCTGACCCAGTATGCGATCGAATACCGACCGAGACCAGCCATCAAAGGTCAAGCCCTTGCTGATTTCTTGGTTGAGTGCACCGCCTGGGATACCTGACCCCCGGAGGTTGCGGATCCCGAGGCTGAGTGGTAGTCGTTGGCTACTGATGGGTCGAGTAGCAAGAAAGGGGCAGGAGGAGGAGTGGTGGTCACGAGCCTGGAAGGATTCAAAGTTTATTTTGCTCTCATGTATCAGTTCCATCCAACTAATAATGAAGCGGAGTACGAAGCTTTCATCAATGGCTTACAGTGTGCTCGGGACCTGGGGGCTGAATACATTCGAGCTCAAACAGATTCCGCGCTCGTGGTCGGGCAGGTTCTCGGAGATTATGAAGTCAATGGAGAGCGTCTACAACTATACCGGGACCTAGCCCTGGAAAAGCTTGCTCAGTTCCGGGGATATACCGTCCGACACATACCCCGATTGGATAATGCCGACGTATACATCTTGTCTAAATTGGCTCAAGACGCCCCGGAACACGTGTCAAAGATAGCTCGGATTCTGGTGATCCCGAGACACAGCA